CAGAGTGAAAAGTACAGAAGTGTCAAGCTCAGAATGTTCTTTCCTGAATGCTGGCATTACTGGTGCAGCGTCGGTGTTTCAGCTTTTTTTTTATCCTGTCTAACGCAAAAATTATTTATAAATACACTGAGAAAAAAAGGTAGTTAAAAATGTTTACACAGGGTGTAGGGCTGACAGTTTTGATGACTATTGATTTGTCTTTTTTGTAGTTTTTTCTGCGTTTTGAGCACCAGCTGTAATATTTTACCAACACTTTATTGTTCTCAGTAAAAGATATAACAATGTTATCTTTTAAAAATCTACTCTGATGCCTGCTACAAAGGAAAACTCATCCATTAGGAGATACATTATGCTATTGGGTTTGTGCCTTTGTTCATCAGATTTCCATATATGTGGGTTCGGTCTGTCCTTTACAGGTTCACCAACACCACATCCGTGTTACAAATGCATACCTTTCAGCACAATCACCGTCAGCATGACCAAAAACTAAAATAATAACATAAACAGAGCCTGTGGGTGAGTTTTCATGAGTCAACGGCCTTACCTGCCGGTGGCATTTACAGTGACTCACCTTTTCAGGAGGAAAGACAAAGACACACACAGGGACACAGATAGGTGGGCCTGGAGTCACTAATATCTCATTTTTATCCTCCTTCCTGGTTAAAGCTCTCTGAGTGTTGTCTCAGATGATTACCTATGCTTTATTGAATTCAGAGGAATTCACTGAGGTGGAAAGAAAGAGGAGTAATGTTCTTGGAAAGCAGCAACCTTCTTATGATTCAGCTGCATAAATCAGCTCTTTAAACACTTTTTCTTATACTGTTTTTTGCTTTGACTCATTTTTGTGATGTGTCCCATCCGTCTTTCCATTTTCTTTGTTCTTCTTAATAGAATATCGACTGTCACCGCCGCCTAACCACTTCTCTGCTGCCCCCACCTCCCCCCTTTCCTCTCACACTTGTTCTGGCCGTCGCGGGAGGCTCTCACAGCGCAGTATGTGGCTGCCCTCGCTGCACCATTGTCAAGCATAAACCGATCGTTTCACCTAACCTAATAATACCAGCATTCAGCTCAGACGCACCCGTGTCCTGCTCACCGTCATCCTCCATCCAGCTTTGTGGTTTTCTTTTTTCTCCACATCACTCCTTCCTGTTCTTCATCTCATTCTCCATATTAAAAACATCCTGGTCCTTCTCCAGGGTTTTCTCTATCCTGTTTTATCTCTGAATGCTGTGTCATCTCTCCCCACTTTAGCTTTTTTTTTTTTTGCTTCACATCATTCTCTTCACACACACCTTGCTTCTCCATTTGTGAATCCTCCTGTCACTGTTGGGTCACCCGAACATGAAAATACATAAACAAGTGTGTTTTCTTTCCATTTGTCCTGGTGAATCGTGGTGTGTGTGTGTGTGTGTGTGTGTGTGTGTGTGTGTGTGTGTGTGTGTGTGTGTGTGTGTGTGTGTGTGTGTGTGTGTGTGTGTGTGTGTGTGTGTGTGTGTGTGTGTGTGTGTGTGTGTGTGTGTGTGTGTGTGTGTGTGTGTGTGTGTGTGTGTGCATGTCTGTGTGTGTGTGTGTGCATGTCTGTGTGTGTGTGTGTGTGTGTGTGTGTGTGTGTGTGTGTGTGTGTGTGTGTGTGTGTGTGTGTGTGTGTGTGTGTGTGTGTGTGTGTGTGTGTGTGTGTGTGTGTGCGTGTCTCTGTGCATGCGTGCGCGCGCGTTTATGTGTGTGCGTGTGTGTGTGCGTGTGTGTGTGTGTGTGTGTGTGTGTGTGTGTGTGTGTGTGTGTGTGTGTGTGTGTGTGTGTGTGTGTGTGTGTGTGTGTGTGTGTGTGTGTGTGTGTGTGTGGAGTAGAGTGGATGCATTAGAGATCACCTACAGGTCTCAGCCCTTGTTCAGAAGCCAGGTTTGGTGCTGGGAATCAGCTCTTTGTTGCCAGCAGTAGGGTCTGTGACTGTTGTTAGGCCTTTGAAGTAGCTTACCTGGCATTAGATAAAAACATGTAGCGCTTCATATTTTGGATTAAATCACGAACTGAAGTGAAGGAGGTTGAGTATGTTGTCATCTTGGTGATTTGTGATGAAATGATAATGAAGGCTTTGCTCTGGATGGTCATGGTGAGCCAAAAAGGAAGGCTCTTGGTTAAATGGTCCATCTACATTACCACCCATATTCAAGGTCAGGAGATGTATAACATTGCCAAGTTTTGAGATCTGAAATACAGCTGTAAAGACCTTCCTCCCTAGTGTGGTTAGCCGAGCCTTACGCTTGATTCCCATCGAGCACAAAACGAATGCTGACTGGAATCCCCTCAGCTTCTGGAAAGTAACTCTCATCTGCGGTGCAGATCTCTATGAAAGTTTCTGCAGGGAGTCTATTTTTATGGACGCCGCATGCAGATTTTCATGAAGTTAAAGAGCAAGTCATCCCCTACCAGTCTTACTCCACTCCCACTTCCTGTTTGAAAAATACAACAACTGCTGTTGCCTGGCAGATCAAGAGGCCGGAACCACTAACAAATATACACACACAGGCTCCCAACATTATTGTGACATCATAATGTACCAGCTAATGTCATAGTGTACCTCATAGCCAATAGTGATGACATATTTAAATTCTAATGCAGTGCAGAGTTTTTACCTGAAGAGGGCTCAACACTGACAGTTTTAGGCAAAATATTTAAAGTTTATCTAAGATGCACAAAAGTGCCAAATTATTGCCTGCACATGTCTACAACATGTTTACATTTCTGAATTTGACCCATCTCCGTGGGGAGTGGTGGCTGTACTCGGAAACTATTTGGTGGATTATGATCGGTCGCTCTGAGTTTTTCATGAAGGCTGAACATGAAAATAGTCTCCTACACTTAACTCCTGCATTAGCTGCTGATAGACAATAGACAATGAAAGGCTAGGATTCGTAAAGCCTGACAGATCTACGTCACACTGTCACTTAACATTCATGGACTCGTCCATCTTCACACACCATGGGAAAGGCTGTTGTTGGTTTAGCATTCAAGAAAGAGCAGAGAGTGTCTCGGCTAGTAGAACCTAACCGTTAGCATTAGCAACTTCACCACACAGCAGAACTCACCTGGGTTGTGCTATTTGTGGAGATAAAACATCAGTGTTGCAAAACAAACAGATTCAGTGGTAGATTTGTGTTGCTGTTAGCCAATAAGAGGTGAGATGTCCAAGTATCAGGAAGTAAGACTCCAAATCCTGTCGTCCGACACTCTCCTCTGACGTGGCAATCTACTAGTTCCTGAAACAGGCGCAACTGAGTTTTTTGTCCCCGAGTACGACTTAATTTCTACTAGAGACCACTGCAAATGTATTTAATAAAAGCGTGAACCACAACTTTTAACATTTTGTTAAAAATGTTAAATCACATACGTAATTGTTTGAGTGTGAACTCGTGTGAACCCCAAGACTCTGTGCTCTTGCAGGAGTAAATCTCCAGAGACCTTCAGCCTACGAACCGCATTTGGTGTGAATAGCAGCCCATCCGAAAGCCTCACAGATAGCTGATTACATTAGTTCCAGAGTCAGCGTAAATCATGCATTAGAGATAATGTAACCCAGGCTAAGCTTGAGTTGAGCTGCTGCTCCTCCTCCACATTGAAACAGGTCAGTAGAGGCTTCTGGTCGTTACCCTTTGGAGGTTTTCCAGGCAGGTTGGGAATCGTGAATAAATGGTGGAAAACTCTAGCGAGTATAAGCTGCAAATAACACCAGAGGGGAAAACCCAAACCATCCCATTCTCCCTGATGGAATGTGGTCAATTTACAGTCCCAATCTTTCTAAAAAGATTATGGGATTCGAACAACTCTGAAGCTTTGTACAAAGTTCTCCAGTGAGACCAAAATGAATCACAAAGCTCTGCCATGAAGGCCAGTTCTGGGCTGTGTTTAATTTGACCAACTGCAGGTGCATTTGGTGCATTTGTGTAACAATGATCTCCAAAGATTCGTCATCTGTTACTCGTTGCAGTAACACTTGCCCTGACTACTCCTGATGCCCCTGTGTGGCAGCAAACACCTTAACCAGCTACGTGTTCTTTAAATTTCATCAGAGTAAAAAAGTGAGTAATTTCCAAACAGAAACTTTGATCCTGTTTTTTAACAGTCAGCATATTTTGGACTGAATGCAGGCGTTTAACCTCAGACCACAGCCCAGCTCATGCAAACCAACAGCCTCAGGTTAGACGCCACTGCAAAGGCAAATCTCAATACAAGGGAAGGTGAAGTGGAGGCGGGGACGCTGACATATATGTGAACTTGCTGAGTCTGTGAGGTCAAAGTGAGCACATCGCCGCACCTTCACACCAACCAGAGTTCTGCTGTCAACAGCAAGGACAGAAACATCACTAATTTGAACCTAATTTTAAAAAGGACAGCTAAAACACTGCTTTGCATCACATGCATGGATTGTTTTTCTTGTAAACGACACAGGTGGAAGCTTCACCATGACACAAGGACTCCATCAGAGAGGCCATGTTGGTGGTGTTTTAACCAAATTTGTCTCTCGACAAAAGATGAAAAGATATTTAATATGTGTTAATTTTAATGTGCTGATTCTTGCCTATAGTCCCCTGTAGCCAAACAGACATCATTTCAAATGTCAATTAGAAATTCTTTGAGTTAATTTTTTTTGAATATTTTAGTAGTAAAATATAGTTTTCAGGTTTGCCTAAATGAAGGAAATGAATTACAATTAAATAAATATTTAGCTGTGATTTTTGCTGGAGTGGTTTATATTATTGCACACTCTCTGGCAGATCTGCTGGCAGAAACTGCACAAGATGTCCTTTACTTGAAATAAATGAAATGAATTTATTTTTAAATATAAATTGATATTTTCATTCCAAGCAACATGGAACAGAATTTAATGGAAAAAGCTTCACATGCTGCAAGTTTGAAAGGAAAAAGCAACATTTAGGCTCCGTTTCTTCTTCCCTAACACAACTCAGACACTTTGCAGCAGCGTGAATTGGGTAACTTACCTTGCCTGGCATTAAAATAGGTGTGTCCGGGATCCGCTGAACCGAACAGCCCCGGTTTCTCCGGTGAGCACCATCGAGAACCACTATCCACCTTATGGAATCGGTGTAAGCGCAGACATTTCTGCCACAACTGCGGTACAAATCCTGATTTCTTGGTGAAATGTTTGGGTTCTGCGTTGAAGCCTCGGTGTGAATTTGGAACGCACCGAACTCACATCTCCATAGAGCTAAAAAAAAATATAATAATAATATTAAAATCCAAATATCAGGATTTTCCTTGAGCCAACTTTTATTTTATGACTCGGGTGTTTCGGAGCAGAAAGATGATCAACAATCAGAGTTCCACTTTAAACCGAATGCGCAAAGGAATTTGGGAAGACTTTTTTTCAGCATGGTCACGTTGACTGAGCACACCGCGAAGAAAAAAAATCCTATTTGGCAAAAAAGAAAACGTGAGACTCCAAAATATTTAGAACGATCTTCTCCGGTCTTACAGGTCCCGCTCAGTCTTGCCATTTGGAACGTTTTCTCTCGTTTTTGTCCAAAAAATCGCTTTGATTGTGTTGGTCAACTTCCCAAACGCGTTTTTTCCAAAAAATAAACATTATTCTTAGGGTGCCTGATGATGTTTTTAAATCCCCAACAACAACAGGTAAATCCCCGCAGGCAGCGACGGAACAATTTCCAGGAGAGTGTCGCCTTCACTCCGTCATGCACCCAGACTTCCTCCCAGTGGAATATCCGCGACGGAGGGGCGCATCTGCTCGAGCCGGCTCTCCACGCAGCCCAGATATCTCAGGAAGGGTTTCGACTTGCTGAATAAATGTCTCAAACTGTCCTTTTAAGGGCCAGACATGAAAAACTGTTGGCTTTCCTGTCGCTCCTGTCGTTGTGGCGCATTAAAACCTTATCTTGTGGTTGAAATACCTGCGCAAATGTGCGCGCGCGCGCGTGTGTGTGTGTGTGTGTGTGTGTGTGTGTGTGGTGGGGGGGGGGGGCATAAAAACATTATTTTGTCTTCTTCTGGAAAGTAGTTGTTTCGTGGCACTATACCCCTTGCGTATCTAATGATCTACCCGGATGTTCATCCATCCAGCCTCCAGAGGAAGAAGAACCGGCGTCTGCTGCGTTTTCCCCCTTATTTCTTTTGGGGATGCGCGACCACATGAGGGGGTTTCAGTATCTGACGAGGCGTGTTTTACACAATTACAACCACCAGAATTGTTCTTAGGCACCAAAAGTGATGTGGCATTAAGCGGGTACGCGCGTGTACACACATATGCATGGTCAGACACGCGCCGGGAGACGGATGATTGGGGTTCAACGTATCTGTAAGCTCGCATAAACGAGCACGGACCTGAATCCGGGAAGTGTGTGTTCACACCAGTGAGGAACCGCGGTAGTGAGGAGACATGGAGACACGTTACCTGGAGCGGTTCCTCCTGGAGATTAAATAAGAAAGATAGCATGGCTACATCATCGTTTAAAACAAACAAACAAATGAACAAAATAAATAGCAACCCTACAACAAAACTGGACCTCAGCTCAGTTTTATTTATTTCAGCACCACGGACAGTTATAGATCCTGCAGGGTGCGTTTGTGGAGCTCTCTTTGGTCCTGAAAAGATGTCCTTATAGCCTTTTCTGCATAAACAATATTTTACCTCCTCAGAAGTGAGTTTCTGTGGACAAGTTATAAACAATAAAACATTTTTACCTTTCTCAGAGAGCTCTTTGATTAGTGTTAGTTTTGTGGATTTAAATTTTATGCTGACCTGTATGAATAGAGCCAAAACGGTCGAGTTTCTACAGTTTTTAAATTACTTTAATTTCACATTTAAACCTTTGCAAAGTATTGTGTATTCTTGTTTGTTTGCTTGTTTTAAAATGAAAGAAAACAACAGAATATAGATAAGAACACAAAAATGGCTGATGCAAAAGCAGAATTGAGAAGATAAAATCTCTTTTTTCTGCTCCTTTATACAAAGTAAAATCATCATCATTACATTCCTCTACAAACTCTCCAACATAAACACTTTAACTCTATTTCACCTCCCTGGTGTGATTTTCAAAGTAAAATATAGACTATGTTAGTTAACATTTTTATGAATACCTAAACACCTTTTGAATATATTTAATGACCTTGAATACATTGAATATTTTGTTTCATGTTCAGGTTGTTCCATTTTGCATCATAAACAATTAAACTTAATATCTTCATTTTGTTTCTAAATTTAGTTATTTGAAGACTTCAGTTCCTTCTTAGATTGGAACAACTTACTCTTTTTACAAATATTAAAGAAAAGACACGAATTTTAAATTCTGTATTCAGATATTATGAACAGTTGGCTGAAAGTGCAACAATCAGCAACAGGATTCCTACAGTCTGTTACTGCAAATAAATAACTGTGGATAAATAACTATATGAAATGAAATATTTAAAAATGGCGCTTGCATGATTTTCTACAAAAATTGTAAAACTGCGGATGTTTAGAAATTGTAAGTCTCTTTTTCTCCTTTAAGAATAAAATTCCACCTGGAAATTTTCTAAACCATCTTCTTGTTACTCGTTGCTCCATAATTCTGGGTAAGTTCAGTCCCAGATCCACATGGATCAGCAAGGATGCTTGCTGCCCCAAACCCCAAAAGGAACCTCCAACCCAGATCTCCAACACAACAAGCCTAAACTATAATTACAAACAGTCGGTTCTTAAGGTTTTTAGTTTTGTTTTTGTTTTTTAATAAAAAAAATAACAGAGGCCCATGAAGGACCCACAACCCCAGCAGCCTGCTCCTGGATCAGTCCCCCCAACATAATTGATGATGTCTGAGATGATGGCGAAAAATACCAAAAATGTGAAAGTGATGCAAAGTTATCTTAAACTCCCATCCCCATAAAGACGCTCACTAAAATTAAACAACAAACATATTTAGGATATAAAAACTGCTCAAACCACTGTTTGGTTTTTGGCTTGCTTGACTAGCTTAGTTGTCTAGCTCAGTCCTTTAGCTTCTGTCTCTGAAGTCATTCAAAGAGATAAACTATTATTTACATAAACTCACTACAGAAGATCAAAATGATTACTTAGACTTCTCCAGAGAGGAGTCAGAGCACTCAGGTCACATTTCATTTACTGGTTTTGTTGGTGCACGCCCCTTTGTTGTACCTAAATGACTTGTAGGACCCCCAAATACCATACCATACCACTTTATTTATATAGCACTTTCAACACAGCATTACAACCATACAAAGCGCTGCACAAAAAATAAGCAAGAAAACACAAGTAAAAATAGTCAGGTGGATGGAAAACGTAAAAAGGAGCAAAAGAAATATAAACAACAGACTATTAACAGTAAAAGCAAATATAACCAGAATATAAAAACACAAAATTAAAATTGAATTGTTTAGGTGGGACAATGGATGAGCAAAGGAGTTATGGAATTAGGGATCGAATGCGTAAGTAAAGTAGAGGGTCTTCAGACGAGATTTAAAGATGGCGATAAAGGAAGCTTGCCTAACCTGCAGTGGTAATGAGTTCCATAACTTTGGGGCATAGACTGAAAAAGCCCTTTCCCCACGAGTCTTCAAACGTGCCTTAGGGACAGTTAAGAGGAGTTGATCTTCAGACCTAAGAGCACAAGGAGGGTGGTTGTAATGAAGGAGATCACACAGATAGGGAGGCACTTGACCGTTCAAGGATTTGAACGTAAGAAGTAAAATTTTATAATTGATCCTGAATTTAACGGGCAACCAGTGAAGCATTTTAAGAATAGGTGAGATGTGGTGTCTTCTTTCAGCTCCAGTCAAGAACCTTGCTGCAGAATTCTGAACAAGCTGAAGCCTAGACAAAGCCACCTCACTGATACCGTACAAACAGGAGTTTGAATAATCCAACCGAGAAGTGATGAATGCGTGAATCACAGATTGTAGAAGACGGACACTCAGGATGGACTTTAATTTTGAAATATGTCTAAGATGGTAAAAGCAGGACCTGACCATGCTATTGACCTGAGCATCCATCTTCAGAGCAGAATATATTCTTATTCCAAGGTTGGAAACAACAGAAGTGACATTAGGCGACAGATAGTTGAGGTCTGGTTGCTGGGCTGCTCTAACACTAGTTGGACTAAAAACGATTACCTCTGTTTTGGAGTCATTCAGATGTAGGAAGTTGTCAGCCAACCATTGCTTGACTTCGTGAAGACAATCGAACAGAGGTTTAGTGGAGTCTTTGGGTTTCAGTGAAAAATAAATTTGACAATCATCTGCATATAGATGGTAAGACACTGCATGCTGTTTGAAAACAGCTCCCAAGGGCATAATATAAATACAGAACAGTAACGGGCCGAGGATGGAACCTTGAGGAACCCCCCAGGGAAGGGAGAGTGTTTGCAAGCCACTTCCTGAGTTGGACCTTTTTCCTGTTCTGTTGGCTCCAGAACCTTTTATTTGTGGATCAGCATCAGCTTTGATCATCAGCTGCCATGTGGCTTTTACATTTAGAACCGTTTCAGTTGTGATCATCCTTTTATGTCCCCAGGCGAGCTAGATGCAGATGTTGATGTCCACTCACTCCTGACCTCCAGCCGCATGTCCTCCATGTAGATATGATTGGTGAAGATTGCTCTGCTTCTCAGTATGAAACCACTCTGTGTGATAATTTGACTCAAGATAAGTTACCATAATCTCCTGTAAGCTGAGCGGCTGGTGTGACGATTGTTTATGGTGGATCTAAGATACTCTGTCACTGAGGAAGGTTAATAATTCCAGGATCAACTCAGGTACGTTTCCAGTCAAACCAAAAGCCCTGAAATAATTTGCAGCTTTCCAATGTTGCAACATGTATTGACAGCACAATACTCATTTGAGTGTCTTAATCTGCAAAGAAAATGTTAAAGGCATGAAAATTGCATGTTTTTCCTATTGTGCAGCCATGACTAATTCAAGGCACTATGTGCAAAAATACCCCCACTTGCCAGCTTTAAGTAAAGTGCATTTTATTCATAAGTTGTGAATAATTAAGGTCTTGGGAGCACAGTTGGAAAAAGGGGAATATTTGCTGACTGTGCTGTGTCTGGGTTTGTACTTCCGAGGAACTACAGGCCACTGGATTAGATGATGAGCAGGCGGAACGATCCACAAATGTACATGACGTTTGATGCTTGTTTTTATTTAAATTCAGTTTGGACAGCAGAGTAACCATGGTGCAAGTGATTGTTCAGAAAGTGGTTCTAATGTTATAGCTAGTTTCTCTTTGGAAGTGATGTGACTTGCATTTGCATCACATCATGAAACATCATGTCACCTAACACCAAGACACATGTCATCACATTGGGTCACATCCTGTCACACAGCATCACAACAGAGCTGAACATGAACAAAACAAGCCATAAAAGCAGCAAAGTCACGAGCCAGGAAACATTCCTGGCAGAAACCTGAAGATATAAAATGACTCCACAGCTGTCCGTCCTCCCAGAGACTCAGACATTTTGAATATTAATGACAACACTGAGCGGTAAAAGTTGATTTGGGGTGACTTGCTTTTCAAAAGAAATGCCACATTTTTACCTGAATCTACATTCCAGTAGGTCTGATTTTTCCATCCATGCTCATATTTCTCTCCTTACATGAAACCAATCAAAGTGGATTACCATGACATGTGGGGTCCCCCAAGGCTCAATTCTTGGACCACTACTTTTTAATCTCTATATGCTCCCCCTGGGGTCAGGTCATGCTTAATAACAATATTGCCTATCACAGCTATGCTGATGACACCCAGATATACCTAGCCCTATTACCTAGTGACTGTCGGCCACTGGACTCACTCTGTCGGTGGCTGGAACATGTAAACGACTGGATGAAGTCGAACTTCCTTCCTTTGAACAAAAACAAGACTGAAGTCATTGCCTTTGGCAAGAAGAATGATAGGATCGATGTAATTGCTCAGCTAGACTCCA